TTCTGTCTTTGATGACACTTCACATCAACATGTTCTTCTCTAGTAAAACCCTCAACCCTCAGGTCTTTCATGGTGGTCCAGCAGTACAGAGCCTGAAAAGGTGGAGCTAATTTAAAGTAAGGATTAGGCTCAGGCTGATACTCATTAATATTGAATATCACGGTATTTCCTAGCATATGCAATATATTTATGGCTGGAGGCATGTTTTCAGGTTGTCCATCCATCCCATTCTCGTGGACGCGATATCTCAGTAACGCCTTGGTGGCTAAAGGTCAAAGGTCAAGTTTGCAGTAACCTCACAAAATGGTTCACAAGCGGTTTTGGCCTTGTGAACGCGATACCAAGGGAATCCCTTCACATTTGGCACAAATGTCCACTGGGACTCAAGGATGAACACATAACACTTTTTAGCCGTAACTCAAACAGCAAGTGTGACAAGATTTCACACAAATGGTTCATAGTTTCATGACTCTGGATAAACGGATGTAATCTGAAACTTGTCTGAGTGCAGGGCGGTAATTCTTGTTTATAATATCACACGGATTGACTGGCCAGTCTGATCCTCACCTCACTGCTCTGCTTACTGTACCTTGACATGTGACAAATAAACACTGTTTAGCGGCAGCATCGCTTATGATTATATATTATAAATACAATATACAACAATATCAAATATTGCAATATTTGGGCTGGGCTGTATTGAGATATAAAATTTTGGATATCACCCAAACCAAGTAAATGTCTGTGTGGGATGTCCCTCTAAAGCCATCTCAGCACTTATCAAATCTACAGTGGCATTCCTAGACTCTGGGGGGCACCAGGCAAAAAAAACATTATATGCAGATATCAGTAGCAGCTGAAATTTACATGTTCCCTGAATGCCTCACATGCAGGCTGTCGGTAGATGCTAGCTACGGCGCACATCATCGGGGGCCCCACTTACGGGGGTTTTAGGGTAGTGGCCATGCACTGCATAGTGTCTGAGAGGGTTTATAGTTGTCATTGCCAATATAAGGACCTATTCGGGGCCCCATTTCTCTCTGGGGGCCCCAAACATTTGCTTGGTTTGCCACTCCTGATGGTGCACCTCTGCTCATGAAACTTCAACACAGTTTAACAGAGTGTGAGTTCACCGCTGATCAGCCTCTAGAGGAGACACACTAACATCTCCTACACTGTTTATACAGCATATCTGTTGTGAATATGCCAAATATAAGTCACGAAGGTGGCAGGAGATGTGTGATATTATTCAGCAGGAGCATCCTCATAACAACAATTTTAATTCCAGCTGTGGTCGTCCTCTCGTCTTTCCTGTCTGCCTCTGTACTGTCCAGTCTTCAACAGGACTGCATAACAAAGGAAAGTGACAGCTGACTTCATCACTTCAGGCCTTGTTTATTATCCCTATACTGTCAGCATAGAGACTTAGCAAACATCTGATTAATGTCAGCACTTTACATTGAGCCTGACATACTTGGTTTCATGTATATACTGTACCTTGTCAGTTTAAATTGATCAAATAGTAACATATAAGGTCTGTTGTAGCTGCTCAGCAGTGAGTATCAGTATGATACTGTATGTGCTGGAGTTAGTGTCTTAGGCTCCTTCAGTCTCTTTCTCCTGTTTCAGACACACTGTTTGCTTTTCACACACATCCTCTAGTCACCACAATACTGTGTGTGAAGGTGTCTGTGTGCCCATTAGTTCCTGTCTTCTACATTTGTCTAATTTTAGCTCCACATCTCGACAGTTACTGAGGCAGCAGCCAGTGAAATTCAGCAAAATGTCATCACTTAGAGACCTGAACACAAGAATGATGAGTAACCTATAATTAGGAAAGTATTTTCAAATGGTTTATTTTTATTAGATAAACAAAAACAACTAAATACTTTTGTGTTTTCTGTGCATTCTGATTATTTACAGAATAAAGTCAGCTGGTGACATTTATCTTTAAGGGAATTCATCAAGGTGTTCCTTTCATGAACACCTGTGTGTCATTCATCTCAAAGTATGTGACACGTCTCCAGGTAAAGAGAACTCACAAGAGTCACATTCATAAAATAATGGTCTAAATCTATCTCTCAGAAACCAAGAGAGCCTGACTTTTAATCCCTACTGTGAATCAAGCTCCTAATATATTGGATCATCCTAGGCTTGTTCATAATTAACAGTTAAGTGATAATCAGAATTCTGACTGATTAATCCTATCAGTTAAACAGTTACATATCCTCGGACATCAGTACCACCTGACCAGGTATTCTCCTCCCTGGGTCTGACAGGCCGACACCAGACTACAGCCTGTCAACATGTTGTTATTGCAGAATAAAAACTAGAAGACGAGCTGTTGGCCTGGACTGTTTATTTTATTTTGAGGTATAATTCTAGTCTGACAGCGTGTTGTGTGAGCAGCAGCCTGGCTGTTCACAGCAGTTAATTCCTCTTCCGGTCAACAACCGATGCTGCTCATCTGCTCTGTTAATTATCTTATCTTTGTAACAACCTCATGAATTTATAACATAGAGCTTTTATGTTTTCCTGGATCAGCACCAGGAATAAATGAAGAAGACCCTTGTGTGTTGACCTGTGGGAGGGGCTTCTCTCCTGCCTTTGTGTGTGTGCTCCTCTGTCTCACTCTCTGTTTAAACACTCTGGATCGTTCTGGTCCACTTGTATGAATTGGTATTTTTTAAAGGTTGAAAACAAAGCTACAAGAGATGAATCCAGAGGCTATGTGTTCAACCTCATTACTTATTCAACACACATTCCCATATGTGCTTTAATCATAGTATCTTTTCAAAGTGAAACACTTCCTGCTTCAGTAGAGTGCACAGTGTAATGATGCACGAAAACCCAGACCTCTCTGTCTCAGTCCGCCCTTCGCTGTCCCGACTCAGGAGGATTAGTTCTGTTCCAATGGTCGACAGTTGGATATTTATAGCTGATTAAATTATGTGGAATAACACTAACCATCAGCCTGTGTGTGTGTGTGCGTGTGTTTGTGTGTGTGTGTGTGTGTGTGTGCGCGTGTGTGTGTGTTGTGAGAGTAAGGCCTAGAAGTGGCCACAGTCATCTTTCAGTCATGCTGGTTCCAGATGACTGTGTCATAATTGTATTTTCAGAGTATTTGTACGTCTACACTCACACACACACACACACACGGCTTCAAGTTCTCATGGGGATTGTCAGTGTCATCCAATCCTCTTACAGCGCAGACCAGACTACACACACACGCACACACATACACACAGATAAGTGAGGGGATAGATATAGCCCAGCTAAGTCCAGAGAAGTGTGCGTGTGTGTGTGTGTGTGTGTGTGTGTGTGTGTGTGTGTGTGTGCTGCTTGTGTTAGCCTTGGAAGTCATTTATAGCTGTGTGTCACCTGTGGATGAGCGTATGTGTGTGTGATTGTTTTACCTCACACACACACACACACACATGACTGATTTGTTTATGTTGCACACATATGATCTCTCTGAACCACTAATACACTTCATACAGACATGTGGAACTGTATCCATGGACATATCACGTCAGCAGTGTTACTGAAAGGCTCAGGCTACGTCCACACTGACAGGTTTTAGTTTTAATACTCCTCTGCTACGTTTTCTCCCGGCATCCACACGGCTCCAGAGTTTTCAAGTGGCTAAAACTTTCGGATAACGCTGCCGGACTTGTTTTAGTTTGAAAACTCTGGGACTGTATTGTATCTGGATGGACAGAAACTGAGACCTTTGGAAACAATGACGTACACATCCACGGTCGCTCCTTGGTTCGGACCTGTCTTCCCTTTGAGAGAAACAGGTGGCCCAGAAAGCAAAAGGAAATATTAGCCATGTTCTGTCATGTGAATTCAGTGTAATGCTGGCGTTACAGTGTGAATAAACCGCCACTCCAAGTTCTTCATTCCTTCTGCTATCAGGCTACTAAACGCAGACACTTGTCATTTTAAATGACTGCATTTAAAATTTAGAATTCACTCATTCATGCATATTATTTATTCATGATAGGAACTGTAAGATAATGTTTTTTTAATTTGTTTTATTTGTTTTATTTTTATCAGTCTTACTTATTGCTGCTTGTTGTTCCTTGTATTGACCCACGTATGTTGATCTGTTGCCTCTGGCATTGACTACTTTGCCTGTGAGTTTTGAGGTTGTATGAATGGACTTGGTAAACTGCAAAGGAATTGCCTTTCTTGGGATTAATAAAGTCGTCTGAATCTGAATCTCATCAGCCTGGACTATCAGTGGTGATCAGTGTTACTGACCATGTTGTCTTTGCTAGCAGCTGTTGTTCAGTTTAATTCTGCATTTTAACACTGCAGCTGTCTTTACTGTTCCTCATTCAGAGTATTTTCTGCAATTAATCAACTGTAGAGTAGATCTGCTTCCTGTTTACACCGGCTCACACATGCCCAGTGTACGTGAATGTTCATGGTGTTTTCAGGTGGGTTAGTATGTAGGGAGATCGTTTCTGATACGGAGCTAAAACACTCGTCAGAAGATCGTTAGTGTGGACATAGTTTCTGTTTTAGGTGCTGAAAAACTCCAGAGTAGCATGGACACAGGAGTAAAGGTAGCAAAAGTCATGGGTTTTAAAACTAAAACCAATTAGTGTGGATGTAGCCTCAGTCACTGACTCAAGTCGCTCCATCAATATGTAATAATCCTCAGTAGTTCCTAGGTCATAGGTATAAGTGTTGAAAATATTGAACATGTTTATTTCCCTTCTTTCTGACAAGAGACGCTCAGATGATCCTCATCATCCTCACCTCTGCATCTCCAGCACAGAGATGGAGTCAGGATGTGGTTAGCTTAGCTTAGCATAAAAACTGGAAGCAGGGGGAATCAGCTAGTCTGGCTCCGTTGATTAAATAAAAAAAAACACATCTAAAGCTCATTAATTAGTATGATTGTAAATACACAAACCTGACAGCCTCAGTCTGGGAAAAGAGGGTGAACCTCCAGAAAGACTCTTTATCTCTGTCTTTACCCACAGAAACTGCTGGAGAGCTGGAGACGGAGCCGCTCAACCCAATGGAGGAGGGAAAGGAGAAGGAGAGAGGCATCATGGGACGTGAGCAAGAGGACGAGGGCAAGAGCGAAGGACAACCAGCCGACATGAATACCCAGAATTCCACGACAGAGAAAGAGGAGAACCGTGTGGCGGTGTGTGCAGATGTGGAGGAGAAGGGGAAGGAGAAGGGAATGGAGGAGGGGGAGATGAAGAAAGAGATGGAGCTGGAGGCGGAGGTGAAGGTAGAGCTGAGCCAGTCTGTGCCGGGCCAGCAGATGAGCTTCATCCAGGGCACTGACCTGTTCGGCTACGTGGGCATCGAGGCAGTCCTGGACCAGATGCGGCGCAAGACCATGAAGGCCGGCTTCGAGTTCAACATCATGGTGGTCGGTGAGTCTCAGCCACTTAAACACTAACACAGACCCTCACAAATAATAATAATAATGATAATATTATTATTATCATTACTACACTGTGTGTGCTTTGTGAGCCACACACACACACACACACACACACACACACACACATACAAAAGGACACTGGGCCATGTTCAGACCTTAACATCCGTCTCAGGTGATCAGATTTTTTGATTTGATTTTTTTTTTTTTTTTTTATTTGCACACATAAAACATTACAACTATATTGT